CTGTTTGGCAATATTTTGGATTTTGAAAAGCCTGTTGACTTTTGCCGTTTATCTAAGGTGATTTTGGAAGTTTTTTTAAACATTCGTTTCTTATTTAATTGGTTCCACATTGTTTGCTGATATTTACCTTATTTAAACTTTGTGTAATTTATTTATTTTATTTGACATCCAGGTGTATGCCGTGCCTCCGAGCTTTCTTACTCGTTTTGCTAATAAACGTTCTACATTTCTTATTTATTTGGTTATGTATTATACATGTTTACTAATTTCCAGTTTTGTATACCTATTTAAACTTTATGCAAGTTATTTATTATTTTATATTAGGCATAACCTGCCCTATAGCATGGTGTATTTTTATTTGTTTTGTTAATAAAAGTTCTATGTTTTATATATAGGCTAAAGTGAGTTTGACGCTGTATTTTGTTGTTGTTTTCAAGCAATTGACGCCGAATTGCTGCTAATTCGAAAGTGAAACTAAAATGCGCACGCCACTTTTACAACCTATTTAAAAGCGAAGGAAAGCGAGGAAAAGAGGGAGCGCCCCCGGTTTAATTTTTTCGGTGGGAAAATTTCCTCACCGTCACAACCTTACTGAAGACTGGAGTAACGATGCTGAAAATTCAACTTTGATCACAGAAATAAATTACAGTTTACAATATATTCACAAAGAAAACAGCTATTTTAAATTCTAATAATATTTCAGTTTTTACTGTATTTATGATCAAATATATGCAGCCTCGGTGAGCAGAAGAGGCTGTCTGAATCAGCTGTAATGATATCATGATCTTTTCTTCACAGTGGACTGTGTGTCACAGACGGTCCGTCATCACGGAGCGAAGGGTTTATATCGAGGCCTCAGCTCGCTGCTGTACGGATCCATCCCTAAATCTGCAGCCAGGTACATAAACGCACTCTAACAGATGCGTCATCATGCATACTTGAGTTGAGCGGCCGATCTGTTTCAGACAGCTGACATTTATTATGCTGATTGTTTTTGTTGAAGTGAGCAGCTCTTTCTCATTCAGAGGCGGGTTTGGTTTCTCCCGTGAGTCTGTGTGTTTGATGTGACGGAGCAGCAGTGCGTTTCAGACTGATGCTCTCTGGTCTCTGAGGAAGAAGACAGAACTGACTTCAGCGCACGTAAACACACATCAGCTTCTGTCACCCTTTACTCACCCTGCTGTCGTTCTGCACCCGTATGACAAAAACTACATTTACATTTAGTCATTTAGCAGATGCTTTTATCCAAAGCGACTTACAAATGAGGACAATAGAAGCAATCAAAATCAACAAGAGAGCAATGATACACAAGTGCTATAACAAGTCTCAGTTAGTTTAACGCAGTACACGTAGCAAGGGTTTTTTAAATAATATAATAAATAAAAAGAAAACAGATATTAGAGTACAAAAAGATTAGAGAAGCAAGTGTTAGTTTTTTTTTTAAAGAAAACTAGCAGAAAATGAATAGAGTGCAAGTCTAAAAGGGACAAGTGTTTTTTAATTTTTTTATAAAGAATAGAATTAGAATTGAGAGTGCTAGAGTTAGAGGGTCAGGACTCGGCTGCTGGGATTGAGTTGGGCAGGTCATTCCACCAGGAGGGAACATTTAATGTAAAAGTCAGTGAAAGTGATTTTGTGCCTCTTTGAGATGAACAATAAAGCGACGTTCACTTGCAGAACACAAGCTTCTAGAGGGCACATAACTCTGAAGTAATGAATTTAGATAAAGGGGTGCAGAGCCAGCGGTGGTTTTGTATTTCTCCACATAACCACATTTCATAGTGACCGTGTCCACTAGGCTCCAAAAAAGAACAAAACTGTGTGATTAAAGCACCGTAAAAGTATCCTAACATTAGTCCATTCACTCGTGTGCTGTTTTCTAAGCGTTATTATTTTAGTATTATTAATTTACTGTTATAGTTTTTATGAATATTTTGAATTTGTTTCTTTAATATATTTAATATTTTCATTTTAGTTTTAGTAATATTATGTTATGTTTTTAGTTTTTAGTTTATTAATATACTGTTATAGTTTTATGTTGATTTTTATTTTTATATTTTTCATTTTCATTTTAGTGAAAGTTTTAGCAATTTTGTTGTTTTTGCCATTTTTAATAGTTCAGCTATATAAGTATTATACTTTTTTTGAATTTTTTTATATTTTTCATTTTCATTTAAGTTAGTTTTAGTAATTTAGTTTTTGTCATTTCTGTTCCTTTTTTTATTTATCTATATCATTTTTATACTTTTTTAGTTTTTAGTTCATTAATAAATATACTGTTATAGTTTTTATTAATATTTTGAATTCGTTTTTATTTTTATGTTTTCCATTTTCATTTTGGTTAAAGTTTTAGTAATTTTATGTTTATGTTTTTGTCATTTGTATTAATTTTTAAAAGAATATCTATATAATTTTAGTAATTTTGTTTTAGCTCAATATACTTTTACAGTTTTTATAAATTTTTTGAGTAAATTTTTATTTTTCGTTTTCATTTTCATTTTAGTGAAAGTTTCAGCATCTTGGTTGTTTATGACATTTTTATTAGTTTTTTTTAAAGATATATCTATATTAAATATATTGTTTTAAATGTATGTATACAATTATTATACTTTTTAAAATTAATGTACTGTTATAGTTTATATTAATATTTTGTTTTATATGTATATTAAGTTTTTATTTTTATATCTTCCATTTTCATTTTAGTTAAATAAAAAATAACAATGAAAAATAAAATTGATTTAAAATATATTAAAAACAACAGCAGCATTAGCATTTTCCATTAAAAAAATCTGATTTCCAGACAGGTTTGAAATAACATCACGGTGAATAACTTCATATTTGGGAAAACGATTTCTTTAACATGGAGAGAAAACAGGAATAAAATTCTACTAGGATTCAGACCTGCATGAAAAGTCGAAAGTGAAACACGTGTCCAGACAATTGTTCCCATTCTAGTTATTCTGTATCTAATTCGTCTCATGTTTAGTGGTGCTTGTCTCTTTAAGGCCGTGTCGTCTGTCCCTTCATCACTCTGATTGATTATCGTCTTCCTCCTCCTCTTTTCATTAGCTGATTGCACTGGTTTTGTGCGGGTGACCTTGTGTTTGTCCTGCTAATGGATCCAGTGCTGTACGTCTGACACTGACCGCTGGATCCCAGCCCAGATTGCATTTACGAGCAGCGTCTTATTTGAATGCAGCTGTTTTCCAGAGCGCCGCACCCAGACCATCTGCTTCAGCTCTGGTAGATTTACACTGGTTTACAGAGGGCCTGCAAACGCACATATCCTCAAAATCAACTCAGTACAGTTGTTGTTGTTTTTTTGCATTCGTGCTACAAAATGTGCAGTATACAAAACACTGTGGAGGATCGTATCCCACAATGCAATGCACTCAGCTTGACCTGGAAGTCATATCAACCCTTCATTATTTAACTGGACTGCCAAAAATAGAACAATTTTTATTTTCTAAGATGACTTTATGCTGTAATTAAAGATGCAAGTATGTGTTTATTCTAGTGTTTGTAGAATACAGTATACATTTTTTTGTATAATCACTATTTAGTGCATACCAGTGTTATTTTAGTATCATTAAAAGACTAGTCTATATTAATATATTAATATATTGAATTTGTTTTTATTTTTCATGTTTTATGTTTTCATTTTAATTCTAGTTAAAATATTTTTGTGTTTTTTATCACTTTTATTCGTTTTCGTTTTAATTTTTTTGTGATTATATTTATATGGTTTTAATAATATTTTATCATTTTAATATTTTTATTTCAGTTTTAGTTATTTTAGTACTAGTTACAACAATGAGAAATGTTGCTCTGGTTACTACAGCCAAATTTATTTAATTTTATTTTATTTCAGTTAATAGTTATTTTATTTCAAGTTAATAAACTGTTATAATTTATATTGCTATCTCAAATTAGTTTTTTTAATTCTTATATTTTTCATTTGAGTTAATTTTAGTTGTTTTATTGTCATTTTTATTAGTTTTTTAAATATACCTATATGATTTTTATACATTTTTGTTTTAGTTTATTAATATACTGTTATAGTTTTTATTAATATTTTGAATGAGTTTTTATTTTTTAGATTTTCATTTTAGTTCGTTTTAGTAAATTTGTTGTTTTCATCATTTTTATTGTTTTTTTTCAATTATGTCTATATACATGTTTTAAATATTTGTTTTAGTTCATTAATATAATGTTATAGTTTTTATCAATATTTTGGAAGAGTTTTTATTTTTGTATTTTCATTTTATTTCGTTTTAGTAATTTTGTTGCGTTTTTGTCATTTATATAAATTTTTTATTATATCTAGATATTTTTATACATTTTGTTTTAATTCATTAATGTACTATTATTATTCATTACAGCGAGGTGGTCTTTCTGCTGGACCTTAGGCCTGTCGCACCTCCTACGGTGCCTATGGTGGACTATGCATGGCAGGGGCGTCCTCTTCCCTGAGGCAGGCCTAAACCTGACCGCATACCACGTGGTTTTCTGCAGGGTCTTCAGCTGGGGACCACCGCTCATTGACGTTTCGCCCCTTAACCCAGAACGTCTCCTGGTGGCGGGGCAGTGAACAGGGACGTCTCCCTGACACCCCCTGCAGCAAAACCTAATTCGATGTTACTCCCCAAGCCTTGTCTCGTCGTTTCAGCCAGAGCCAGTGGCTTGCTTTCTCCGCTTCCTCAGAGAGCTCTTTGGTGGATCTGCTCAGTGTGGCTCCCCGTAGTCCCAGGTCCTTGAGCAGGCATGATATTGATCTGCCCACAAAGCCTCTGGCTCCCACCTCCACCGGGTACAGCCTCACACTCCATCCACCTTCTCTGCACTCCGCAACCAAGTCTGCATACTTCGCCTTCTTTCTCTCGTAGGCAGCTTCCAGTCTCTCCTCCCATGGCACTGTCAGCTCGATCAGTATCACTGACTTCACAGCTGCAGACCACAGCACCACGTCTGGTCTTAATGTGGTGCTGCATATCTCGTGTGGGAACTGGAGCTACATTATAGTTTGTATTAATGTTTTGAATGAGTTTTTGTTTTTATATTTTCCGTAGTTCATTTATATATATATATAAAACTCAGCCATTGTGAGCTTGTGCTGATAACAAGTACTGTAGCATAATGCTGTTTAAATCATTTATTAATGCATACTGCAAACTATTTCACAAGTTATTTGAAAACTAGTATGCAATATAGTATGCAAAACAGCCAGTCTGTCTCGGTAGTGTCAGTTTCATCCTGTCATGCTGAAAAAGCTACATGAATAGTGCAGGATGGATGATTTTAAAATTGAATTTGAGTCAATTGAATTTGATGGAGAGAGAGAGAGAGAGAGAGGCAGATGGAGAGATTGTGAAATGTATGGTGCCAGCGGAGACATTAAGCAGACAGACGAGTCAAGCGTTCAGGTTGAATGACAGACAGTTTGTGTTTAGCTCGTCTGTTTGTTCAGTGCTGTGCTGTAAAAAGCGCTCGACTCTGCTGGATGTCCTGCGATCGTATCTGTCTTGAGCACCAGAAATAAAGTGGAGCAGGTAATAAAAACACACGGCTGCTTCCTGCTGCTAATGGACACCTGACGCTTTACTGCTGACGCGGCGGCGTTCAGGAGGAAACGCTTTAGTACGCCACAGACCTGAGTCTGAGGATTGTGACTTGTGGCTAATCAGTGTGTCTGCATGTATATGTTTGTGGAAATGCATGTCTGTGTTTCCTTTATGTTAACAAGTAATATACAGAGTCACTGACTGAATTCAGAAAAGCATACTAGCGTACTATTCTTGCTATTTCTGCCACATATAGCAAAAATAGTAGGAGGAGTATCCTAGTATGCTGTTTTGAATTCAATGTCTGTCTTGCTAATGGGAGTTACATCCTTTGTTTAATTTTTAATTCATTTTTATTAGGGTTTCGAGTGTGTAGCGCTGAAACCCTATTGTAATTGATAGAATGGCCAAGGATCAACAATCTCCACCTAAAACTGATCAGCAGACCAAACCGTAAGTCGTAGAGACTTGAAACTTGGAGGGATGGTAGTACTCACACTGTCTACAAGGTCACCAATGCTTGCCCCAATCGGCCTCACGGGGGCGCTGCAGCGATCAAAAGTACGGAATCTCTCATAACTCCTAAACCGTTGGTTGCAGGCTCAAGTGTCTTATGTCATTGGAATCCTTGGCTCATGTCGGAAAAAATGCACACCTCGGATTTGATGGTCTGCGAAATTTTTGGGTATTTTGGATTTTTTGAAAAACCTACTTTTGCGAACTAGTCCTAGGTTTTTGCCTGATCGGAACCAAACCAGAGTAGAAAGATTCTCTGGAGAGTGGATATTAATAATTATCAAAAAAAGTCAAACTTTCCACTGTGTAAGAGCTCAATCTGAGGTCACATGAAAAAAATCGTGGAGCTTGGCCACTTGGTGGCACTATAATAGGGAAAAAAACTTAAAAAGCTGCGCAACCATTTGTCCAATCAACATGAAAATTCATATGCGGTGTCTTTGTCCGAAGTGACACAAGTGTCTATGAGGACATTCGCGTATCTCAAAAAGCATGGCCACCATCAGTCAATGAAATTTGAGCACCTATTAGACAAGGTTAACAGAGGCCGATTGGAAAGAAACTCAGTGGGCCTGTTTGACCCATAGCCCTAAAGGTCTGTGAGAAATTTAGAAGAAATCGGCCACTGGGGGGCGATATGGCATTTTTCAAGGGTGTTAACAGGCACACAATATTCATATCATATGATAGATCTCCTCATTCTGAACAACTTTGCCTCTAGAAGCACTGCTGTCAATCAAATCGTTCATTAATTATTCAAGATTTTTTAAAATATACCTATATGACTTTTATAAATTTTTGTGTAAATTGTTTGTTTTAGTTCATAAATTTTCATTTTAGTTAGTTTTAGTACATTTGTTCGCACACATCGCGAAATGTATTGTCAACACTGTTCCATGATTTCTGAATCAAATAGCTTTGAAACTGAAAAGTTCAAGCATATATTTCTTAATAACTAAATCCCACAGCTTCACTACTAGTAGAGAGACGCTGCCAGGTAGAATTAATTCACACGCAATCGCTCTCATGCATTCATATGAATGTAATCTTTACTGTGCTACTTTATCTGTATCTGGTTTAGAACGAGCAGAAATCTGTGAGAAATATAACAGAATTTTCCCCATGACAAGAGTTTAAAAAGAAACAATTCATCCATGTAGACCCCTTAATACAATCATGACATGTCTTAGTTTTTCTGGTCGAGATTATTTTTTAAATATATTTCACTTTATATTATTTTCCAACCCACTGGTCCCATGTAGGGGATGCTGGAGCATTATTTTATTTTATTAATTTTGTTATTATTATTATTATTATTTTTTAAACCACTCGGGATGCTGGAGCTTTTCTATTCTATTCAATTCTATTCTATTCAAACCACATGTCCTTTGTAGGATCTTGTGGTTTCTGGTTTATTTTATTTTATTTTATTTATCTACAAATAAGCCAAATTAAAAAGGTGATCTAGCAAGCAATTGCTATTGCAATGATTATATTTTGTATTTTATTTTATTTGTATTATTTTTGCATTGTCTATCATTTATTCTGGTGTGCTTTTCTCGGAAACAAAAGATTGTGTGCGAGTTATTGTATTGCAAATGATCCATATTGTCTCAGATTTGTCACTCTTGACAATTAATTTTTTATTTGATATAGATATTCACGCAGTTGCATATAAGTGAATAAAACTACGCCGTACATAGTGCACATGATCGGTTATTTATAATGTTTGTATTCCATAAGTGATGCTCCTAGCGCTCTGTATGTGTCTCTCAGGAATCAGAGGGACGTATCAAGGCCTCACAGCGACCGTCCTCAAACAGGGATCCAATCAGGCGATCCGGTTCTTCGTCATGACCTCTCTCAGGAACTGGTACAAGGGTGAGTGTGAGTGTATGTGCATCAGCAGTCTCACACTATAAAACACTATCTGAGCTGCACTGCCCTCTGCTGCTCATCGAGGTGATGGCAGATAGAGTCTCCTCTGGTGTCACATCAGGATGTTTTTGGATGTTTTCTAGGTGACAATCCCAACAAATCCATCAACCCCATCGTCACAGGAGCGTTTGGTGCGATTGCTGGAGCGGCGAGTGTGTTTGGAAACACACCGCTGGACGTCATCAAGACCAGAATGCAGGTACGCAGAGCGTTTATCTCAATACAAATCAATCCTGATTTCATATCAAAGCACTTGATATGCTGCATTGAAACACACCTTATTCTTTCTGTTTTTGATAATCCAGCCACTTTATTTTCTCTATCCATGTGCAATAAATTATAATTTTTTTTTTACAAATGTCATGAATTGATTTCTATGAACTGTATTAGTTATATAATATATACTGTAACCTTTGACCATTATAGCAAAGCAAATAAAAGCACTTTTTTTAATTTAATTTGTAATTTTTTTAATTTATAATCTACAGCGTGTGCCAAAAGTGCTGTACAATTTCAAAATAAAAATAAAATAAATGAAAACTTGAATACAGTAAGATACAATAATAGAAGAAAAAAGAAAACAAATAAATATATTAGAAAATGAGAATAAAAATGATCAAATAAGCAGCTCAGGACGTTTCTGATTTCTGGCCCGAGTGTGGTAGTGTGTGAGTGTGTGTGTGTGTGTGTGTGTATGGGTGTGTGGGAGTGTGTGTGTGTGGGGGGGAGTGTGGTAGTGTGTGAGTGTGTGTGTGTGTGTGTGTGTGTGTGTGTGTGTGTGTGGGTGTG